TAAAAACTTTCTTTAGAAGAAATATCTGACAAACATAAAAAAATATGTATTTAAAATGCATTTTTGTGAAAAATTGATTTTTATCGAAAAAAAATTAACTATCACAAATGTTAATTATTGAAGTTTTTTATGATTTTTTATTTTTTCGATTTTTTCCAAAATAAAAATTATATGTATATATACCTAATCAGTTTATATATTTATATAAGCTATTTATATTAATATAAGGATATACTATTTTTATCAGATATTAATAAAATTTTAGTGAATAATATTATTTTAAATAAATCAATAATGAAAAAATTAAAATTGATAATAGAAATTTATAATAGTATTAATTATTTCTAAAATGGATTAATATTATTTATTTAATTATATATATATATATATACATTTATATTATATTAATATATATTAATAAATATTTTATATATATATAACAATTTAATATAAATATGAAACTATATTTACTTATAAATATATAATAGATTTAGTAATATATATAAATATAATTGTTATATATATATAAATAATTTATGTATTATTAATATATAAATTTGTTATTGAAAATTACAAATTTACGAAAAAAAAAAAAAACTACCTTAATTTATACGTTTGTATAAGAATTTATATGATTAAAAATTATAATTTAATTAAATTATAATTTTATTAAATATGAATTAAATCTTTATATATTATGTGTTTATATATATTTACATATATATAAATATATATTATTATTAGAGGAAAATTATATAATAAATAATTTATTTTTTTAAAAATTATTTATATTAGGGGATATAGATAATTTAATTAATTTATAATAGTTTATTTATATTAATATTTTAGGGGAATATAAATTTAAGTAAATTATTGTAAATTATTTGATCATATTTAATTTATATTAATATTTTAGGGGAATATTAATATAATATGTTAATATGGCTGTTAAAGATATTATTTTTTTAGTAAAGAATTAATAATATAAGAAAATTTAACTAGTAAAATTTTAAGGGGATTTTGTTAGTTAATATTTTTTTGTATAAAAATTTTCTTTAGTGCTGAAAAAGTAATGTTTTTAGCCATTTTTTAGGGGGGAGCATTCTTTTTTTTATATGTTTACAGGTGTGTAAGTGGGATAAAAAGTTTGATTTTTGTTTAAGGAATTGAATTAAATTTTATATTTACATGTAAATTTTTGTGTAAGTTTATATATTTTTTAAATAAAAATATTAAAATTTTTGTTCGCAGTAAATGATTTTATAAATTAATTAAAATTAGATTTAGTATAAATTTATAGTATTGACTAAATTTGTGCCAGCAGTTGCGGTTATACAGATAATATATTTCAATTTTTATTAGTATTAATATATTGAAAATTATAAAGTTTTAAGGGAAAATTTATTGGGTGAAATCTTAAGGTTTTTAAAAAATTTATTTATATTGATTAGTTAATAAATTTAGTAGTAGACTAGGATTAGATACCCTATTATTTTAAATGTAAAATTAAGCTAGATTAGTATTAGTTATGTTCTTGAAAATTAAAGATTTTGGCGGTTTTTTAGTCTATTCAGAGGAACCTGTTCTATAATCGATAGTCCACGATTTAGATAACCTTTATTATAAATTTGTATATCGTCGTAGTTTGAATATTTTAAAAGAATTTAAATATTCAAAATTTATTTTTTAAATAATATCAGATCAAGGTATAGTTCATATAAAGGTAGAAATGGGTTACATTAATTTTAATTAAGGATAATTTATTGAAAATAGATTTAAATAAGGATTTGAAAGTAATTTTTAAAAAATTTTAAAGATGATTTTAGCTCTAAAATATGCACATATCGCCCGTCGCTTTCATTTTAAGGTGAAATAAGTCGTAACAAAGTAGGCTTACTGGAAGGTGAGCCTAGAAAGACAAGTTAGAGCTTGTATATAAAGCATTTTATTTACATTAAGAAGTTAATTGTGAAAATCAATTTAATTTGATTTTAAAAATATTATTTTTAATTAAAAATTAAATTAAATTAAAAAATAAAATTATTTTTTAGTAAATCTGGGAAAAAATTATGTTAATAATAGGTTATTAGTATTGAGAAAGAGTTATTATTAAAATTTTAAAAGAAGAAGAAAATTTTGTACCTTGTGTATCAGGGTTGATTAAATAAAATTTAGATAATATTTTCTCGAATTTAAAAGAGCTAAAATAATATAATTTTATTGTAGAATAAATATTTATAATATTATTTTTGAAATGAAACGTTACACGTTTTTAATATATCTAGTTATTTAAGAAAAAAATTAAATTTTATTGTTAATAATATATAATTAATTTTATAATTATATATTAATAATATTAAATTTATAAAGGGATAAGCTTTTATAAAAATTTTTAAAAGTTTTTATTTTTATAAAAAATTATAGGATTAGTAGTTTCTATTATTAAAATAATGTTATAGTTAATTTTATTTAATTATTATTTATATAAATTTTAAATAGTTTATTAAATTAAAAATTATAATTAAATTAAGTTTTGAAATAATGATAAAATTAGTAGGATTTTATATAAAATATATAAAAGATTAAGGTTAATTAAGGGAATTCGGCAATAGATTTTTTACCTGTTTATTAAAAACATGGCTTTTTGATAATAATTAAAGGTCTGACCTGCCCACTGAGGAGTTTAAAGGCCGCGGTAAATTGCCCGTGCTAAGGTAGCATAATCATTAGTTTTTTAATTGAAAGCTGGAATGAATGGTTGGATAAGAAAAANAACTGTCTCTATTTAATTTATAATGAATTTTATTTTTAAGTAAAAAAGCTTAAATTATTTTAAAAGACGAGAAGACCCTATAGAGTTTTATAAAGTTTAAATTTTAATTTTTTTAGTATTATTATTTTGTAATTGAAATTTTATTTGATTGGGGCGATTGAAAAATTTAATTAACTTTTTTTATATATTTACATAAATTTATGATAAATTGATCCATAAATAATGATTAAAAGATTAAATTACCTTAGGGATAACAGCGTAATTTTTTTTGAGAGTTCTAATCGAAAAAAAAGTTTGCGACCTCGATGTTGGATTAAAATTAATTTTTGGTGTAGAAGCTAAGAATTTTAGGTCTGTTCGACCTTTAAAATTTTACATGATCTAAGTTTAAACCGGTGTGAGCCAGGTTGGTTTTTATCTTTAAATGAATAATATATTTTAGTACGAAAGGATCAAATATATAATAAATTATTTATTTTTGAATATTAATGTTATTTTGGCAGATTAGTGCAATTGATTTAGAATCATTATATGTAGTTTAAATTACAGATAACACTTGATATTATTAGATTTATTTTTAATTTTTTTATCTAGGTTAATTTTAATTATTTGTGTTTTAGTGGGTGTAGCTTTTTTGACATTATTAGAACGTAAGGTGTTAGGTTATATTCAAATTCGTAAAGGTCCAAATAAGGTAGGATTTGTAGGGTTAATTCAACCATTTAGTGATGCTATTAAGTTATTTACTAAGGAACAAACTTATCCTTATATATCAAATATAAATTTATATTATTTTTCTCCTATTATAAATTTATTTTTATCTTTAGTTTTATGGATATGTGTTCCTTTTATTAGGGTAAATATTAGATTTGATTTGTCTATATTATATTTTTTAAGTGTATCAAGTTTAAGAGTATATGCAGTAATATTAGCTGGTTGATCTTCAAATTCAAATTATTCTTTATTGGGAAGATTACGTGCTGTGGCTCAGACTATTTCTTATGAAGTAAGATTATCCTTAATTTTAATATCTTTTTTATATTTAATTTTAAGATTAAATATATTAGATTTAATGAAATATCAAAAGTTTATTTGATTTGGTTTGTTAATATTACCTTTATGTTTTATATGATTAGTTTCTAGGTTAGCAGAAACTAATCGTACTCCGTTTGATTTTGCTGAGGGTGAATCTGAATTAGTTTCAGGATTTAATGTAGAATATAGAAGAGGAGGATTTGCTATAATTTTTTTAGCAGAATATGCAAGAATTTTATTTATAAGATTTATTTGTAGAATATTATTTTTAGGAGGAAATTTAATAGATTTAAGATTTTTTTTAAAATTAAGATTTATAAGATTTATATGAGTTAGGGTTCGGGGAACTTTACCTCGTTATCGTTATGATAAATTAATATATTTACTTAGCATGAAAGGGTTATTTACCTATTTCTTTAAATTATTTATTATTATTTTTTGGATTAAAAATTTTTATTTTTATCTTTTTACTTTAGTTAATAAAATTTAGTATAAGTTAATAGAGAATTTGATCTCTTTATTATATTTTCAAAATATAAACTTATACAAGTTCATTAACTATTTAAATATAATTTTATCTTGAATTTTAGCAATTAAAGGATTAATTAAAAAATAAATAAAATATATAATAGTAAGAATTTGTCCAACAATAATATAAGGATCTTCAACAGGACGTGCACCGATTCAAGTTAATAAGATAATAATAGTAAATAATGATCAAAATAAAATTTTATTTATTGGATAAAATTGATTTCCTAAAATTTTTTTTTTATTAGAAAAAGGAAGAGTATATAAAATAGCAATTGATATAATTAAAGCTAGAACACCTCCTAATTTATTAGGGATTGAACGTAGAATAGCATAAGCAAATAGAAAATATCATTCGGGTTGAATATGTACGGGAGTAATTAAAGGATTAGCAGGAATAAAATTATCAGGATCTCCTAATAGATAAGGATTACTTAAAGTTAAAATTAAAAGAGTTATAGATATAATTAATATACCTAAAATATCTTTATAAGAAAAATAAGGATGAAATGGGATTTTATCAAAATTTCTATTAGTTCCTAAAGGATTATTTGATCCAGTTTGATGAAGAAATAATAAATGAATAATTACTAAGGAGATGACAATTAAAGGTAATAAGAAATGTAAGGTAAAAAATCGTGTTAAAGTAGCATTATCAACTGCAAATCCTCCTCATACTCATTGAACAATTGTTGTTCCTAGATATGGAATAGCTGATAATAAGTTAGTAATAACAGTTGCTCCTCAAAAAGATATTTGTCCTCAGGGTAGGACATATCCTAGGAATGCTGTTCCTATAACAATAAAAAAAATAGTAACTCCAATTATTCAAGTTTCAATTAAATTATAAGATCTATAGTATATTCTTCGTCCAATATGAATGTAAATACAAATAAAGAAAAAAGAGGCTCCATTAGCATGGAGAGTTCGAATTAATCATCCATAATTTACATCTCGACAAATATGAGCTACACTTCTAAATGCTAAGTCAATATTAGGGCAATAATGTATTGCTAAAAATAATCCAGTTACTATTTGAATTCCTAAACAAAGTCCTAGAAGAGATCCAAAATTTCATATAGTTGAAATATTAGAAGGTGAAGGTAAATCAATTAAGGATTTATTAAAAATTTTAAAAATGGGTGAAGTCTTACGGATGAGTATTTTCATTAAGTTTTTTGTCGTAAAGGTCCTGATTGAATGTTAGTAATTTTTACTACTATAATTAAAGTAATTAATAAATAAATAATTATTATAAAAAAAAATATATTTATAGGTCATATTAAAATTTTATTTATTGAGAGTTTATAATATAAGTTTATATTTTGATTTGAAAGGTTATTTATTAAATTTAAATTAAAAAAGAAATAATCTAAAAGTAGCAATATAAGAGTAATTATACAAAGTAATCTAATTAAAATAATATGTTTATAAGAAAATTTAAATTTTTCATTTGATGCAATTCTTGTTATATAAATAAATAAAATTAATATACCMCCAATTATAATTAAGAAAATAATATAAGAAAATCAAAAATTGTAATTTATTAAACCTGTTATCAGTGCAATTAAAATTGTTTGAATTAGTAAAATTATTCCAAAGGATAAAGGATGATTTATAAATAAAAAAGAAATTCTTATAATAATTGAACTTATAATTAGGATTATATTAATTTCAAGAAATAGTTTAATAAAATATTAATTTGGGAGATTAAAGTTAAGGAGAATCCTTTTTCTTGATGTTTTAAAAGAAATATCTTATTTTTGGTTTACAAGACCAATATTTTTTTAAAATTATTAAAACTAATGTTAATTTATATTATTTTATCTTTATTTTTAAGAGTATCAGGAATAATAGTTTTTTCTTTTAAACGTAAACATTTATTAATTATATCMTTAAGATTAGAATTTATTATAATTTCTTTATATTTTAATATTTTAATTTATTTATCTTATTTAAGATATGAATTTTTTTTTTCTATAATTTTTTTAACTATAAGAGTATGTGAAGGAGCTTTAGGTTTATCGGTTTTAGTTTTAATAATTCGTACTCATGGTAATGATTATATTATAACTTTTTCTTCATTATGATAAGATTTTTTTTTGGATTATTAATATTAATTCCTTTATGTTTTATTTCTAATTTTTGATTAGTACAATATATTTTTTTTATTTTTACTTTTCTATTTTTTTTTAATATTTCAATAACTTATTTATGAGTAAATATTTCTTATATATTAGGAAGAGATATATTATCTTATTCTTTAATTTTATTAAGATTTTGGATTTGTAGATTAATGATTTTAGCTAGAGAAAAAATTTTAAAATTAAAAAATTATAGTAATCTTTTTTTATTTATTATAGTAAATTTAATATTATTTTTATATTTAGCTTTTTCTTCTATAAATTTATTTTTATTTTATTTATTTTTTGAAATTAGTTTAATTCCTACATTAATTTTAATTATTGGATGGGGATATCAACCTGAACGAATTGAGGCTGGGGTTTATTTGTTATTTTATACTTTATTAGTTTCATTACCAATAATGGTTTCAATTTTTTTTTATTATCAAAATTATCTGAGATTAGATTATTATTTTATAAAAAATGATTTAATTAATATTTTTATATATTTATGTATGAATTTTGTATTTTTTGTAAAAATACCTATATTTTTTGTTCATTTATGATTACCTAAGGCTCATGTTGAAGCTCCAGTTTCTGGATCTATGATTTTAGCTGGAATTATATTAAAATTAGGCGGGTATGGTTTAATACGATTAATAAATTCATTTTTAACAATTGGCATAAAATATAATTTTATTTTTATTATTATTAGATTAGTTGGGGGATTTTTTATTTCTTTAATATGTTTACGGCAAAGAGATATTAAATCTTTAATTGCTTACTCTTCAGTTGCTCATATAGGTTTAGTATTAGCTGGAATTATAACTTTAAATGTATGAGGGTTTTGGGGTTCTTTAGTAATAATATTAGCACATGGATTATGTTCATCAGGTTTATTTTGTTTAGCAAATATTGCTTATGAACGGATTTTAAGTCGTAGATTATATTTAAATAAAGGTATAATAAATATTTTACCTAGTTTATCTTTATGATGATTTTTATTTAGAGCTTCAAATATGGCTGCTCCACCATCATTAAATTTATTAGGGGAAATTATTTTAATTAATAGATTGGTAAGATTTAGAAAATATTTAATAATTTTTTTAGGTTTAACTTCATTTTTTAGTGCTGCTTATTCTTTATTTTTATATGCTTATTCTCAACATGGGACTTATTATTCTAGAATTTTTAGAATTTTTAGAGTTACTTTTCGAGAATATTTATTATTATTTTTGCATTGAATTCCTTTAAATATTTTAGTTTTAAAAAGAGAATATTATACATTATGAATTTATTCAAATAGTGTAATAAAAATATTAACTTGTGGCGTTAAAGATATAAATATTTATTTTGGAATAATGAAAATTTGTAAAATTTATTCATTTATATTTATAATAATTTCAATCTTATTTTTTTCTTTAARAATTAATTTTATAATTAAAGATTATAAAATAATTATTGAATATTCATTAATTAAATTAAATAGAAGAATTATTAGAATAATTATTTTATTAGATTGAATAAATTTATTATTTATAAGATTTGTTTTATTTATTTCTTCAATAGTAATTTATTATAGAGAGGAATATATGATAGGAGATTTAAATTTGAATCGATTTATTTTATTAGTAGTAATATTTGTATTATCAATAATATTAATAATTATTAGTCCTAATTTAATTTCTATTCTTTTAGGGTGAGATGGGTTAGGTTCAGTATCATATTGTTTAGTAATTTATTATCAAAATATTAAAAGATATAAKGCAGGCATATTAACGGCACTATCAAATCGGATTGGTGATGTAGCTTTATTATTATCAATTGCTTGAATATTAAATTTTGGTAGTTGAAGGTTTATTTATTATTTAGATTTTTTGAAAACTGATAAGATTATAGAGTTAATTTCTTTAATAGTAATTTTAGCAGCAATAACTAAAAGAGCTCAAATTCCTTTTTCTTCATGATTACCTGCAGCTATAACTGCTCCTACTCCTGTATCTGCTTTAGTTCATTCTTCAACTTTAGTTACTGCTGGTGTTTACTTATTAATTCGGTTTAATTTTGTTTTTAGAGAATCTTTAGAAATATTATTTTTATTAATTGTAAGTTTAACCATGTTTATATCAGGATTAGGGGCTAATTTTGAATTTGATTTAAAAAAAATCATTGCACTTTCAACTTTAAGTCAATTGGGTTTAATAATAAGGATTTTAGCTTTAGGGAGTTATGAATTAGCTTTTTTTCATTTATTAACACATACTTTATTTAAAACATTACTATTTATATGTGCAGGTTCAATTATTCATTCAATAAATAATTGTCAAGATATTCGTTATATAGGAAATTTAATTAATCAGATGCCGTTAGTATGTTCTTTTTTTAATATTTGTAATTTTTCTTTGTGTGGATTACCATTTTTATCTGGTTTTTATTCTAAAGATTTAATTGTTGAGGTTATATCAATGAATTTATTAAATTTAATAATTTATTTATATTTTTATATTTCTGTTGGATTAACAGTATGTTATAGATTTCGTTTATCATATTATAGATTAACAGGAAGATTTAATTATTTAAGATTGCATTGTTTGATAGAAAAACAAAGTTATATGTTAAAAGGTATATTAGGATTAATTGTTAGAGTAATTTTTAGTGGTAGAATATTAATATGATTAATTTTTCCTTCACCACATTTTATTTGTTTACCAATTATTTTAAAAATAATAACTTTAATTATAATTATTTTAGGAATCTATATTGGATATGAATTAGCTAAATTTAAATTAAGTTTTAATTTAAAGTCTCTAGATTATTTAACATTAAGGAGATTTTTAGCTATAATATGAAATATACCAATAATTTCAACTTTAGGTATTAATTATTATCCTATTTATTATGGAAATAAATATTTTAAAAAATTTGATCAAGGTTGAATTGAGTATTATGGTGGACAAAATTTAGGAATTAAATTTCAATTATTTGCAAAAGTTGTACAGTTATTATCAATAAATCATTTAAAAAATTTTTTTATATTAATAATTTTTTGATTAATATTTGTAATTATTTTATTTTACTTAAATAGCTTATATAGAGTATAATATTGAAGATATTAAGGAAATAAAAATATTTTTAAGTAATTTATAAGAAAATTTCTAATTTTACAGTGAAAATGTAATGTTTTTATTAAACTATATAAATTAGAAATATAAACGAATTTTCATCGCTTAAGATTTAAGTTAGAAGCTTAATCTTGAATATCATATTTCTTTAATTGGAGAGTTTCTCAATTTTATCATTAACAGTGATATACCTCTTTTTGGTTTCAATTAAAATAAGGGTGATAATCATCAAACTTTTAGGTCGAAACTAAATGCAAATATTGCTTCTTATTAAAGATAAATTGATATTTCAACACTTTTTAAATGCAAATTAAATGTTATAATTAACTATTATCCCAATAAGCTCAATTTAAAGCTCCTTGATTTCATTCATGAAAAAGTCCAAAAATTAAGATTATAATAAAAAAGATAAAAATAATAGAATAATTTATATTAGAAATTTTTAAAGTAATAATTAATGGAAATAATAAAGTAATTTCTACATCAAAAATTAAAAAAATTACAGCAATTAAAAAAAATTGTAATGAAAAGGGTAATCGAGCTGAATTTTTAGAGTCAAACCCGCATTCAAATGGGGAGCTTTTTTCTCGGTCTGAAAATCTTTTTTTAGAAATTAAATTTAATATAATAATTAAGATAAAAATAATTAAAAGAATTATAATAATTAATAGAAAAATAATTAAAATCTAGTTGTCTAGATTTTTTGATTGGAAGTCAAATATAATTATTATATTATATAAATTAGTTATCTACCCCATCAATAGATAGAAATATAAAGAAAAAGTCATACAACATCGACAAAATGTCAGTATCAAGCAGCAGCTTCAAATCCAAAATGATGAATACAACTAAAATGTCCTAATATATGACGAATTAAACAAATTAATAAAAAAGTAGAACCAATAATTACATGAAGTCCATGAAAACCAGTTGCTATAAAAAAGGATGATCCATAAACTGAATCGGCAATAGTAAATGGAGCTTCAATATATTCATAGGCTTGTAATAGTGTAAAGTATATACCTAAAGTTGCGGTTAGGATTAGTCCATGTAATCCTTGGATATAATTATTTTCTATTAATCYATGATGAGCTCAAGTGACTGTAAGTCCTGAAGTTAATAAAATTAATGTATTTAATAATGGAATTTCTATTGGATTAAAAGTTTGAATTCCTTTAGGGGGTCAAATTATTCCTAGTTCAATACTAGGAGATAATGATCTATGAAAAAATCCTCAAAAAAAAGATATGAAAAAGAATACTTCAGAAATAATAAAAAGAATTATTCCCCATCGAAGGCCTATTGTTACATTGTATGTATGATGGCCTTGATATGTCCTTTCTCGTATGATATCTCGTCATCATTGATATATAACTAAAATTAAAATAGTTAATCCTAATAATAATAGATTATTTTCATATAAATGAAACCATTTAATTAAGCCTAGTATTGTAGTTATAGCTCCTAAAGATCCAAGTAAAGGTCAAGGTCTAGCATCTACTAAGTGAAAAGGATGGTTTTTATATAAATTCATTAATTAACTTCTCTTGAATATAAAGTTCTTAAAATTGCAAATACATATGATTGAATAATTGATACAGCTGATTCAAGAATTAATAAAAGAATTTGTGTAATAATTAGAAAATGAATTATTATTATATTTAATATTGGGCCAGTATTGCCTAATAATGTTATTAGTAAATGTCCTGCAATTATATTAGCAGATAATCGAACAGCTAAGGTTCCTGGACGAATAATATTTCTAATAGTTTCAATACATACTATAAAAGGTATAAGAATAGGAGTTCCTTGAGGGACTAAATGAGCAAATATATGAATAGTATTATTTAATCATCCATATAAAATAAATCTTAACCATAAAGGTAAGGCTAAAGTTAAAGTTAATAATATATGTCTAGTTCTTGTAAAAATATAGGGGAATAATCCTAGAAAATTATTAAATAAAATAAAAGAAAATAGACTAATAAAAATAAGTGTTCTTCCCTGAGTTTTATAAAATCCTACTAAAATTTTAAATTCTTTATGAGGTGTAATAATAATTTTTAATCAAATTATATGTAATCGAGAAGGAATTAATCAAAATGAAAAAGGAATAATTAATAATCCGATTATCGTTCTAAGTCAATTTAATGAAAAATTAAAATTAGTTCTTGGGTCAAATGATGAAAATAAATTTATTATCATTTTCAATTATAAGTTAATGAAGATTTTATTTTTTTGAAAATTTTAATGTTATAATTAAATGAATAAAAATTAATAATATTAAAGATAAAAAAATTATTAAAAAGTATAAATATAAGAATTAATCAATTTAGTGGTGCTATTTGAGGAATTAAAAATTATTATTTAATAATAATTTTAGCTTGACAAGCTAATGTTATATTTTAACTAAATTTTTCATTAGAAGTGGATGTTAATTACTATAATATGGTTTAAAATTCCATTGCTTACTTTCAGCCATCTAATGAAGTTTCTGAGATCTTAAAAATTCATTTTATAAAATATTTAGGTGAAATTCTTTCAATAACAATTGGTATAAATCTATGATTGGCTCCACAAATTTCTGAACATTGCCCATAAAATAATCCAGTTCGATTAGCAGAGAATCTAATTTGATTTAAACGTCCTGGTGTAGCATCAATTTTTACTCCTAAAGATGGAACTGTTCATGAATGAATAACACCTATGGCTGTTACTAATAATCGAATTTGAGTTTCAAATGGAATAATGGTTCGATTATCTACATCAAGAAGACGAAATTGAAAAGATTTAATTGAATTAACAGGAATTATATAAGAATCAAATTCAATATTTTTGAAATCTGAATATTCATAAGATAAATATCATTGATGTCCAATAGATTTAATTGTTAATAGGGGATTATTAACTTCATCAAGAATATAAATTAAACGTAAAGAAGGTAAAGCAATAAAAATTAATGTAATTGCAGGTAAAATAGTTCATACAATTTCAATAAATTGTCCTTCTAATAGTAATCGATGAGATAATTTAATAAAAAAAAGGGTAATTATTAATTGTCTTACTAGAACAGTAATAATTACAAGAATTAATAATGTGTGATCATGAAAAAAGGAAAGTTGTTCTATTAGAGGAGAGGCTCTATCTTGAAGTAGAAGAGTTTTTCATGTAGCAATTTCTAAAAAAAGGGTAAACTTTATTTTTGGGGTTTAAATCCAATGCACTAATCTGCCATATTAGATCCTGAATTTCCTGTTAAAGCCGGAACTTCAGAATATCTATGTTCTGCTGGTGGAAAATGTTGTAATCATTCAATAGAAGTTACTATTCTAGTGGAAGAAAGTCTTTTACGTTGAACAGCTAAGGCCTCTCAAAAAATATAAATTAATAGTGTTACTCTTACTAAGGAAATTAAAGATCCAATTGATGAAACAACATTTCATAGAGTAAAGACATCAGGATAATCTGAATATCGACGTGGTATTCCTCTTAATCCTAGAAAATGTTGGGGAAAAAAGGTTATATTAACTCCAATAAATATAATTAAAAATTGAATTTTTAAATATTTATTATGAAGAGTAAGTCCTGTAAATAAAGGGAATCATTGTACAATTCCTGCTATAATTGCAAATACTGCGCCTATAGATAATACATAATGAAAATGAGCAACTACATAATAAGTATCATGAAGGATAATATCAATTGATGAATTAGCTAAAACTACTCCTGTTAATCCTCCTACAGTAAATAAAAAAACGAATCCTAAAGCTCAAAGAGAGACAGGTCTATAAAAAAGTTGGGTTCCATGAAAAGTTGCTAATCATCTAAATACTTTAATTCCAGTGGGAACAGCAATAATTATAGTTGCTGAAGTAAAATAAGCTCGAGTATCAACATCTATACCTACTGTAAATATATGATGAGCTCAAACTACAAATCCTAAAAGTCCAATAGCTATTATTGCATAAATTATTCCTAAAGTCCCAAAGGCTTCTTTTTTTCCTCTTTCTTGTCTAATAATATGAGAAATTATACCAAATCCTGGTAAAATAAGAATATAAACTTCTGGATGTCCAAAAAATCAAAATAAATGTTGATAAAGAATGGGGTCACCTCCTCCTGCTGGATCAAAAAATGAAGTATTTAAATTTCGATCTGTTAAAAGTATAGTAATTGCTCCAGCAAGAACTGGTAAGGATAGTAAAAGTAAAATAGCAGTAATTTTTACTGCTCATACAAATAAAGGTAATTGATCTATATTAATTTTTTGGGGTCGTATATTTATTACAGTTGTAATAAAATTAACTGCTCCTAAAATTGAAGAAATTCCAGCTAGATGTAATCTGAAAATAGCTAAATCAACTGAAGAACCTCTATGTGCAACATTAGCTGCTAATGGAGGATAAACTGTTCATCCTGTTCCTGCTCCTCTATCTACAATTCTTCTTATTAGTAGTAGTAATAATGAAGGCGGGAGTAATCAAAATCTTATATTATTTATTCGTGGAAATGCTATATCTGGGGCACCTAGTATTAATGGAACTAATCAATTTTCAAATCCACCAATTATAACAGGTATAACTATAAAAAAAATTATGATGAATGCATGGGCTGTTACAATCACATTGTAAATTTGATCATCTCCAATTAATGAACCAGGAGTACCTAATTCTGATCGAATCATTAATCTTAGTGATGTTCCAAGTATTCCAGCTCATGCACCAAAAATAAAGTAAAGTGTTCCAATATCTTTATGATTGGTAGAAAATAATCACTTATTCGGTAAAATGACCGAGATTAGGTAGTAAATTGTAAATTTACGTACGAAATTATAATTATTTCTTTTACCAAGTCTTATATTCAACTATGATTTTAAATTGCAAATTTAAAGGTGACATTTAAGTCTAAGACTTAGAATATTATTCTATTTTCAACTTTGAAGGTTGATAGTTTAGTTAACTTAAATCCTTAAAAATAATTAAAAATTAAGGAGCAAGCTAGTAAACCACTTAAAGAAATTAAGTTAACAAAAAAAATTTTAAAGTTAATTTTTTTTGAATAAAAAATTAATGATTCGTAAAAATTAATCATTAAAGATGAGAATCTAATTCGTAAATAAAAATATAAAGTGATGAGTGTGAAAACAATTAAAAGAATTCTTAGAAAGTTAAATTTGGTTAAAATTAAATTATTGGATACTAGTCATTTAGGGAAAAACCCTATAAATGGTGGTAATCCACCTAATGGAAAAAAATTTAAGGAGAAAGGAAAATTTATAGATTTAGAAAAATTTATAGAATTAAATAATTGAGTTAAAGTGAAAATATGCATAATTTTGAAAATAATGATGAGATTAATTGTAATAATTGAGTAAATTGAGAAATAAATTACTCAAATTATTTGATTTTGTAATAATCTTGCTAATATTCAGCTGATATGATTAATAGACGAATATGCTAAAATTTTACGTAATCTAATTTGATTTAATCCTAAAATTCCTCTTAAAATTGTAGAACTAAGGATAATAATTAATAAAAATTGTCTTATTTGATAATTATAGAAAATTAAAATTATTGGAGCTAGTTTTTGTCATGTTAATATTAATAATCTTATTATTCAATTTAATCCTTCCATAACTTCGGGGAATCAGGTATGGAAAGGGGCTGCACCTATTTTAGTTAAAAGAGCAGAGTTTATGATAATAGATAGGAATTGAAATGTTTCTAAAAAAAATTCTTTTAGATTTAATGATAAGATAATTGCTAATAAAAGAATTCTTGATGCTAAAGATTGAGTAATAAAGTATTTTAAGGCAGATTCCGCCGGATATAAATTTTTTCTATCTTTCCACAAGGGGATAATTGAAAGAAGATTAATTTCTAGTCCTATTCATATTCTTAATCAAGAATATGATGAAATTGCTATTAAAGTGCCGAATATTAAAGTTAAAAAAAATAGGATTTTATAAAAATTTATAATTAAAAAGAGAAAGATTAAAGCTTTCATAAATGGGGTATGAACCCAATAGCTTACTTAGCTTATCTTTTTATATTTTAGTATATGATGTATATGGATTTTTGATATCTAAGGAAATAGTTTAATTCTATTAAATATAATTTTTAAAATAATGAAGGTGGGGGGAATATCACATTATTAATTCTATCAAAATTATCCTTTTATCAGGCACTTCATT